TTACCCACCTGTCGCGCCTTGTGCAGCTCATTTTCAGTTCTGTGTTGATCTCCACCCATAGCTCTCATCCCAACCCAGATGGTATCTATTTAGGAAATTCAGGAAACTCTTAATATTAGCATAAGCAGAGCAAGTTGGGAAATAAATGAGTGCAAAGCAATGATCTAATGCGATAGAAAAATGAATATAAATGACTTTTCAGTTTTCTAGGCCATGGGCTCATGAAGTCATTCAGGAAGTATCTGCCAAGCTCCTGCTCAGTGCTGGGCATCGAGGACCCTTCCCAATCCCTTCCATCTCGAGGCTCCCGGTCGAGAGTGGGGGACATGCACCTAGGCTGAGACCCTGGATAAGGACGTGTGTCCTGTTCCTACAGACGCTGGTAGCCGAGGATGCTTTGGTTCCAGACACTTCCTCTTCTACGTGCGAAACTCCTCAGAGACATTTCACCTCTGCTCTTTGTCACCCTGCGTGGGGAGTGTGTCTCTCCCACGTGAGCACAGTGTCTCTTTTCCAAATGCAAGCACAGGTGCTGGGGAGGCCACCGGCCAGCTCCCTGAGAACGGAGGTGCTCTGTCTCCTGGCCCCAGTGCCTGCGAGGGTGGGGCCGGCATCCAACGGGTGCTCACTGTGGTTAGTTGAGTAACTTCGATCCCCGTCAGCAGCTTGTTATCGTAATCAACATCATTCTGGTTTTTAAAAGGAGGAAGGTAGGGTTCAGAGAGGTCATTCAAGTCCAGGGACACACAGCTAAGACGAGGCAGTACCAAGGGCCCAGCGGTGGCCTCTGCCTGGGTGCACTGTGCTCTCTCCTGCCGTTGTGCTGCCCGTTAAGTGGCCGGTGTAGAGAGCAGGACTGGAAGCAAGGGTCTTGCTGAGAACCTAATGGCATGTGTGTCTGGAAAGGGCCAGGCAGCCTGCATGGACTCCTAGACTCTGCTTCTGCTCTCTGTGACCATGGGTGGGTCAGCTGATCTCCCGAGAGGTGATCTGCTCGTCGGCAAAGCTGTAACAACAGCATCTTCACCTTGGGTCCATAATGCCACCTTGGGTGACAAAAATGACAGTGTCTGGGGGTCCTGTACATTCATAACTCATAGTGGTTTATTTTATTATCATCAGCAAGCATTTTTATTTCTTTTTTTTTTTTTTGAGTTGGAGTCTCCCTCTGTCGCCCAGACTGGAGTGCAGCAGTCGCTCCCGGCCACCGCAGCCTCGACCTGCTGGGCTCCGGCGATCCTTCCGCCTCAGCCTTCCAAGTCGCTGGAACTACAGGTGCGCGCTACGACGCCCGGCTAATTTTTGATTTATTGTAGCGATGAGGTCTCGCCAGTTGCCCAGGCGAGTCTCGAACCCGCGGGCTCAGGCAATCCACTCACCTCATCTTCCCAAGGCGCGGGATGACAGGCTGAGCCACAGAGCCCGGCTGCATTTTTATTTCTACGACTATTGTATCTGCCTGTAAATCCATGAAACTGGGCATACATTTCTAGATCGTGTCGTCTGTTACCATAAGTGACCTTCGGGACTATTCAGAGGATCTGAATCTGTGCCAGGCGCAGGAATACAACCAGGATTCCTTTTTCTGGAGTTGCTGTTATCTAACTTAGAAAAGCTGAGGTGACATATTCTCTAGTGCTGTTTCTAAAAATGTGAGGGCTGCTGCGTGGCAGCACGGTTGGTTGACTCCCTCATGCTGTAAGTGCCGTGTTAAGATTCAGGAAGTGGGAGAGTCGCCCCCACCTTTAAGGCAGACGGCAGTGGGTTTGTGCCTCTGGGTCCACGCTATCCATTGCTGTGTCATTTTTCTGCTGATACATTTGCCTCCCCGGCTCCATAGAGGAACCAAGTCCTGTTTTGTCTCCAGCACCAAGCACACTCTGTTGCACATGCGGGGTGGGCTTAGTGATTTTTTTTTTTTCCTGAAGGAATGAATTACATGAGGGTAGGCGTGAAAGGAGATGAGCATAGCGCAACACATATCAGGATCAGGTACTTGGTTGCTGAGGAATGTGGAAGTCATGTGACCCTGTGTTAATCTATAAGCAAGAACATGCAGCTTCATGCTTCTTGATGAGAGCTGAGATAAGTACCAGTGAGCAGATAAGTTCTAGCTGTGCTGAAGGAGCTTCCTTGGGAGGAGGGCGTAGGTTTAATTTGGCTTCTTTAGGACACTGAGTTTGTGCGTCAGTGTCAGAGGCTACAGATACTTGCTTCTCTACAAGGGAAGGTGTCCTCGATGGGATTCCTTTAAAACACAGACATGCTACAGGACAGGTTGGCCATGTTAAAATATTCAAGTCAAAAGTGCAGCTTCACCTGGTGTGGTAGCTTATACCTGTAACCCAGCATTTTGGGAGGCTGAGGCAGAGGATCATTTGAGGCTAGGTGTTTGAGACCAGCCTGGGCAACAGAGCGGGACCCCATATCCATAAAAAATAAAAAATAAGCTGGGCATAGTGGTGCGTGCCTGTCATCTACGCGGGAGACTGAGATGAGAGAATCACCTGAGCCCAGGAGTTTGAGGCTGCAGTGAGCTATGATTGTACCATTGCACTCCAGCCTGGGCGACAGAGTGAGACTTTGTCTAAAAGAGATTTTTTTTTTGAGTTGGAGTCTCACTCTGTTGCCCAGACTTGAGTGCAGTGGCTGCTCCCGGCCACGGCAGCCTCGACCTGCTGGGCTCTGGCGATCCTTCCGCCTCGGCCTTCCAAGTAGCTGGAATTACAGGCATGTGCTACCACGCCCGGCTGACTTTTTTTGGATTTATTGTAGAGATGGGGTCTCGCCAAGTTGCCCAGGCGGGTCTCGAACCCGTGGGCTCAGGAAATCCACTCACCTCGGCCTCCCAAAGCGCTGGGATTAAAGGTTGAGCCACTTGAGCCCGCCTAAAAGAGATTTTTTTAAAGTGCAGCTACCTAGTGCATGTGGCAGACAACCTTTTTAATATGTTCATAAAAATAGTACATGCTCACTAAAGAAACTTTAGAAAAACGACTGACAAAGAAGGAATCTCATCATTTAGAGATAAAAGCATATTGATGGCCATTTTCCTGTTTCATTTCATATACATGTTATTTTTATAATAGTTCATAATAGACATACTGCCATAAAACCTGCGCTAGAAAAAAATAGCAGTGAGTAGTGAGCCTTTTTCTATGATGATGTGTCTCCCTGTGTGACCTTATATTTCGTGTCTGCTTAGGACTGTGCCATGGTTCACTATACGGACCTGTATATGTGAGAGCACAATTAGGGTGTTTTCAGTTTGGGGTTGCTAAGGAAAAATGGAGTATTTTCATGGCTAATCTTTGTGTAGACGTGTGCATATTTATGTATAATTTGTTCTTAGAAATGGGAATATAGGATCCAAAGTTATATTACATTTTAAATCTCTTTTCTCTTCCCTCCTCTCTGCAAAGAATTATGGTTTGTGAAAATCGTTGCCAGTTTGTTAGGTGAAAGATGGCTTGGATTTACATTTAAAGCCATTTTTGATGACAAATACTTTTCTTTTGTTGTTTTTTTGTTTTGATTTGGAGTCTCACTCTGTCCCCCAGACTGGAGCGCAGTGCAGTGGCACGCTCCCGGCCACCACAGCCTCGACTTGCTGGACTCCGACGATCCTTCCGCCTCAGCCTTCCAAGTAGCTGGAACTACAGGCGCGCGCTACCACGCCCGGCTAGTTTTTAATTTATTGTAGAGATGAGGTCTTGCTAAGTTACCTGGGCAGCTCAGGCAATTCACTCGCCTCGGCCTCCCAAAGTGCTGGGATGGCAGGCTGAGCCACAGAGCCCGGCCTGACAAATACTTTTCTTAACACTTTATAATTCCTTTTTTGGTTGTTGTTTGGTTTCACTCTCTTTAAGGCAGGATCTCACTATGTTGCCCAGGCTGGTCTCAAACTCCGGAGCACGAGCAATCCTCTCACCTCAGCCTCCCTAGTAGCTGGGATTACAGGTGCACATCACTGCAAACCTGGCTGTAATTCCTTTTGGCATTTCTGATGGGTGGGCTTGTTTTTTCTTCTTGATTTGATAGAAGTTTCTAAGTGAGCAACACAATTCCTTTTTCTGACATATGTGGCAATATTTTTTCCCAACTTGTTTGCCTCTTAGTTTTAGTTGATGGTGTTTTCTCAGACACCGCTTTCTTGAATTGTTGACATGGTTGCTTTCTTCTGAGTTAGAATTGAGTACTTTAAGAATGAGCATGTCATTTTTTGATGAAAATTTCCAACAGTCCTCCTGTGAAGGCAGCTCACCAGCATACGGCCCACGCCTGTGCCCACATTCCTACCAGCGTCACTGTCACCAAATATGTCAACTCCAGCAAGAATAAGAGACGGAGCCAAGCAGGTTTTAAGTGGTTTTGACAGATTTTTAGCAAATCTTGTCTAAGACGTTCTGACCTAAGCAGCTGCAAATCAGTCACACCTCTTTTTAATCTCCACAGCCAAGATGAGTCCTGGAATTTGGCCCTGTCTGGATGGTCCAAGACAGTGTTGTCTAATAAAATAGAATTCAAGCCATATACATGATTTAAAATGATCTTGCAACCACGCTAAAAAGTTAAGAAGAAACAGGTGAAATTAATCCTAGCAATATATTTAATTCAACTCAATATGTCCAAAATATTATTTCAACGTAGAATGAAAGTAAACATAAGCAGTGAGTCAGCTTGCACTCTTCGTTTTCATGCTAAGTCTTTAAAATCTAGTGTGTGTTTTATACGATCAGCACATCTTAATTTGGGTTAACCAGGTGTCACCTGTGGCCAGGGTCTGCTGTGTGGGAAACTACAGGTCCGATAATAGATATTTGGCGAAGGGAAAAAAGCAAAAGCCCCAGGAGATCGTCATTAAAGCAGAAACATACATCAGGGACCTCATCCTAAGAATAAGTAGATCTCTTCCTAAGGATGGGAAGGAAGGGCTGGGGCCTGCTTGGCGAAATTTCAGCATCTCCACACCTGTACCGATATGCCCGTGTTCTTTTAAGGGCCAGCGGTGATGACACCCAAACCCCACGCAGAATGGAGCCAAGGCCACTGGAACCCACCACTCAGGACAACCTGCACGTGTCTATCGCCAGACGAGACTGGCTTCTTCAGGAAAAGCGGCAGTTACAGGTGAGCAGGGGAAGCCTCTTCAAAGACATAGGGGGGTGTTTTTCTTACTCATCGAAGCCAAGCACAGCCACGTAGGCCTTTGCTGTGCCTGAGTGTAGCAATTAGAGCCTTGGCTGTCAACCTGGGGAGGACGGAAAGGAGAGATGGTGAGAATGACTGGAAGGCTTGTAGGACTCTCATCACAAATGAGGGTTGAAAGCTCAGTGTCTGTACCTGTTCTAGCCATTCCTCATTACCTTTTGAATATACTTTCATCGTCTGCCAGGGCGATTTGTCACCTCTTATCCTTTTGACCTTTAGAAGCTTCCTTTGAAAGGCAGAAATAAATCTGTGCTGGGAGAATCCTTGGCAGAAATTCCTTTCACGGTGGACTGTGACAGCAGTTGTTAAGAGGCAGGGTTGTAAGTCTGGACCGGACAAGGCAGGCACATCCAGGGTGATTAGCAGGCTACGTGGAAGCCCAAGGTTGGCCCGGAGCAGTGGCTGAGAGTTGGCTAAGACTCATCCAGAGGCTAGAAATTTGGGTGTAGCGCCCAGTTAGAACCAGAGGCCAGCCAGGGGCTCCGGAAACTGACAGGCACCCCAGAGGCAGGTAACCTTGAAACCGGAGGCAAAAGTCGTTGCAATTTGAAAATATCTCCAGTAAACGGGGCTTACACATTCAATAACGTCACTGTAAAGTTTGGATAGCTGAAAACGTGAAATCTGGTTTCTGGTTTTTAACAACACTCCCCAGTGAAAGGTCTACACAATTCCTGAGGATGTCAGAGTGTGCAGAAAATAATTTTATCCCAGGATACTTGTAGCACTCTGGAGAAAGGGCTTGAGTATTTATTTGCTCAATGGAAGGTATTTATTGAGGATCTACTATGTGCCAGATAAATGGAAAAGTTTGGGATTCCTGGGGAGCTCGGGTTCGACTGAGAGTGGGAGTGGGGAGATAGACAGTAACTAATCAACATAATAAATGTCCAGATTGGGTAACTGGCATGTTATGGGGTGGTAAGAGCTGTAATGTGAAGAGTAGGGAGATGAGGAGATGACGTCTACTCACTGAGAAGCGAGGTTGAAGCCAACGCTTGAAAGAGAAGAGGGAGTGGCCCTTGCAGAAACCTCTGGTCAGAGTTTGCTGGGCACAGGGACAACCATGTGAAGGCCTGGGAGGGTGTCTCGTGTGTTCAGAGGGCAGCTGGGGGGCTGGTGTGACCCAAGGAGTGTAAGTGAGAGGGAGGATACAGGGGAGGAATTCCAAGACAAAGGAGACCTTGCGGGGACTTGGGCTTTTCTCCATTGCAGGGTTTTAAGCCCCAAAGTGACATGATCTGAGCACGTTGTAAAGAATCGCTCAGACCAGTGAGGAAAACAGTATGCAGCCTCTTTCAGAAATTAAAAGTAGAATCCCATATGATCCCGCCATCTCCCTTCTGGGGATAGACCCCTAAAATTGAAAGCATGGGCTCAAAAAGACAGTTGTACTGCCACGTTCATGGTGGCATTATTCACAATAGTAACAAGGTGATAACCACCCAAGTGCCCAGGGGTGGATGAGTGGATAGCCAAATGTGGCATGTACGTACAGTGGATTATTACTCATCCATAAAAAGGAAGGAAATTTCGACACATGCTACAACATTGATGAACTCTGAGGACGTTATGCTAGGTGGAATAAGCCAGTCACAAAAAGAATCAATTGTATGGTTCACTCATATGAGTGAGGTACCTTGAGTAATCAGATTCATAGAGAGATGGGAAGTAGAATGGTGGTTTACCAGGGCCTGGGGGGAGAAGGGGAATGAGAAGTTGGTGTTTAATGTGTACAGTTTCAGTTCTGTAAAGGGATGGATAGTGGTGATGATTGTACAACAGTGTGAATTTACTTAATACCACTGAAACCTACACTTTAACAGAGTTCAGATGGTGAATTTTATGTTATGTGTCTCTTACTGCAGTTTAAAACAACTGAAAAAAAGAAAAAAAAATAGGGTGTGGGAAGACTGAGGTGGGAGCAGGGAGATTAGCTGAGAGATTTTGTCAATAACACCGCAATCTTGGTGTTATTGATGCCTGGGCTGGAGGGCTGTGGCACACTCCCGGCCACCGCAGCCTTGACCTGCTGGGCTCAGGGGATCCTTCCGCCTCAGCCTTCCAAGCAGGTGGAACTATAGGCACGTGCTACCATGCCTGGCTAATATTTTGATTTATTGTAGAGATGAGGTCTCGCCAAGTTGCTCTGGCTGGTCTCGAACCTGTGAGCTCAGGCAATCTTCTCACCTTGGACTCCCAAAGTGCTGGGATTATAGGCGTGAGCCACCGCGCCCGGCTGGGAGGATGCTAATTGAAGAGTTTGATTTCTATTCCAGAATCATACAAGCCGTGAGATGATTATCTGCTGTAATGCTGTGCACACGATGGGTGTCAGTTACCTGCTGCTTGTTTTAGTCGTTGACCTCAAGATCAGATGATACATTCTGGATTATCTGAATTTCAGTTTGCTGTATTTGTGAAAATTAAATTTACTGAATATTTTTATGAACATTAAACTGCACGGCACTGTCTGCAGCATCTTATTGTTCTCTCAATCCTGTAGATTTAAGAAGTGGAGCTTTTTGTCTTTCTCTCTACTTCAAGTTCTCTTGTTTGGAGACAGACCAGCCAAGGCTTGTGTGCTTTTCTTGTTTTGGTGTGTGGCTAATGTTACCTGCTTAGCGTGTATCTCACGTGCACGGTGCCTGCTGTCCTGTGTTCTAACTCTTCCATCTTAAACGGAGTCAGTCATTTATATATTTGCAGGGTTCTTCCAAGTCAAATTCTTGGCTCACCCCCCATAGTTATTTAATGCTTGGGAGGGAATGTTTTTCCTTATGCCAACTCATTAGAAATATAAAGCTGGCATGATTTTTCCAGTTCAGCAAACCTCCAGAAATCTGCCGGCCTCGGAAGGGGAGCTCGTGGCTCTGGTGCATACGGCCAGCTCTCATCTAAATGAGTCATTAGCCGCAGAGTAGTTTGCCACGAGCAGGGTTAACTTATAAAATCTGGTCTCCTCATGTTCTGCAGACAGAAATCAAAGCCCTCCAAGCAAGGCTGTCTGTGCTGGAAGCCAGAGATCAACAGCTGAGAAGGGAAATAGAAGAGCAGGACCAGCGACTCCAGTGGTGGGACTGCGACCTGACGCCTCTGGTGGGCCGGCTGTCCCCGGGCCAGCTGCAGGAGGTCAGCAAGGCGTTGCAGGACACCCTGGCCGCGGCCCGTCAGATTCCCTTCCGCACAGAGCCGCCCGAAGCCGTCAGGAGGTATTGGCGATTTCCTGGCTGATTCTGGGTTACTCACCTCACCACCCGTTTCTTATAATGACTTTGTCTGCTGTCTCTCGTCTCTAAATAGTTTCCAAGCAGTCTGTGTTTTTCAGTCGAAGCACCGTCGGAGTTTGTGGCAGGGACGTTCTTTGGCTTGTGGGGCGGGCCTAAGCATTCCGAGTGATGCCACATCCGGCCACCCATCCTGCTTAAGACCAGCATGCCTCCCCACTCCACCATGCACCCTTCCCACTTCTACACGCCCCGGGGGCTTCCTCTCTCCCGTTGAGAACTATTGGCGTTCAGTCGGTTAGAGATTCTGATGCCAGCCTTTGCTCTGTTGATCATCTGGAGAGAGGTGAGCTATGCCTCTCACCCAGGAAAGAGGTGAGCTGTTTGAGAGAGGGAGACTCAATGACACTGTTTGATCTGGAAGAATGGGTTGTTCTTGGTAGCTAAGACTTACTGGGTGCTTGCTATGTGCTAAGCTTTACTCTGTGTGTTGCTTCTTTTATTATGTCCATTTTACAGACGAGTAAAAGTTTAAGAAGGCTAATAATTTGTCCAAAGTCCTAATTTATAAGAGAGAAAAACAGATGCGTAAACTTTTTTTCATGATTCTGAAGCCACCGATATAGCATTCCCTCGAATAAACAATATAAGCTGATTACTACCACCATCCTTCCTTTTACTCTTAGCCTCCTCAATAGTTGAAGCTGGAGCAGGAACGGGTTGAACTGTTTACCCCCCTTTAGCAGGGAACCTAGCTCATGCAGGAGCCTCTGTAGACCTCACTATCTTCTCCCTTCACCTAGCAGGAGTATCTTCCATTCTAGGTGCTAATAATTTTATTACAACTATTATCAACATAAACCCCCCCACTATGTCACAATATCAAACCCCATGATTTGTATGGTCTGTATTCATTACCGCCGTTTTACTCATGCTCTCTCTTCCAGTTTTTTTTTTTTGAGTGGGAGTCTCACTCTGTCGCCCAGACTGGAGTGTGGTGGCCGCTCCCGGCCACCGCAGAGTTGACCTGCCGGGCTCCGGTGATCCTTCCGCCTCAGCCTTCCAAGGAACTGGAACTACAGGCGCGCGTTACCACACCCACTTAATTTTTGATTTATTGTAGAGATGAGGTCTCACCAAGTTGCCCAGGCAGGTCTTGAACCCGAAGGCTCAGGCAATCCACTCACCTCGGCCTCCCAAAGTGCTGGGATTACAGCCTGAGCCATGGAGCCCAGCCTCTTCCAGCTTTAGCGGCAGGAATTACTATACTTTCAACTGATCAAAACCTAAACACAACCTTTTTTGATCCTGCTGGGGGAGGGGATCCTATCCTCTATCAACACTTGTTCTGATTCTTCGGTCACCCTGAAGTATATATTCTTATTCTCCCTGGGTTCAGCATAATTTCACATATTGTAACCTACTACTCTAGGAAAAAAGAACCATTCGATTACATAGGAATAGTTTGAGCCATAATATCTATCAGTTTCCTAGGTTTTATTGTTTGAGCCCATCATATATTTACAGTGGGAATAGATGTAGACACTCGAGCATATTTTACATCTGCTACCATAATCATTGCCATTCCTACTGGCGTAAAAGTATTCAGCTGGCTGTCAACTTTACATGGAGGCAACATTAAATGATCTCCTGCTATACCATGAGCCCTAGGCTTCATTTTCCTTTTCGCCGTTGGCGGCCTGACAGAAATTGTCCTCGCCAATTCTTCCCTTGATATCGTCCTCCATGATACTTATTATGTAGTAGCACATTTCCACTATGTTCAATCAATGGGAGCAGTTTTTGCAATTATAGGAGGCTTCGTCCATTGATTCCCCCTATTCTCAGGATTTACCCTCCACCCAACCTGAGCCAAAACCCACTTTGCAATTAGATTTGTAGGAGTAAACCTAACCTTTTTCCCTCAACACTTCCTTGGATTATCAGGTATACCCCGGCGATACTCCGATTATCCTGATGCATACACTATATAAAACACCATCTCCTCCATAGGCTCATTTATCTCCCTCACTGCAGTTATACTGATAATCTTTATAGTCTGAGAAGCCTTCGCCTCAAAACGAGAAGTCTTAGCAGTTGAATTACCCAGCTACAAACCTTGAGCGACTCCACGGCTGCCCTCCACCTTACCACAAATTTGAAGAACCTACCTATGTAAAAGCATCATTAGCAAGAAAGGAAGGAATTGAACCTCCCAAAATTGGTTTCAAGCCAACTCCATAACCACCATGACTTTCTTTATTAATAAAATACTAGTAAAACTATTACATAGCTTTGTCAAAGTTAAATTACAGGTTAAACCCCTGTGTATTTTCATGGCACATCCTCTCCAATTAGGTTTTCAAGATGCCACTTCCCCTATTATAGAAGAACTACTCCATTTTCACGATCACACTTTAATAATCGTTTTCCTAAACAGCTCACTAGTACTCTACATTATTACCCTCATCTTAACAACCAAGTTGACCCACACAAGCACAATAGATGCACAAGAAGTAGAAACAGTATGAACCATCCTACCAGCCATCATCCTTATCCTAACTTCTCTTCCTTCCCTACGTATTCTTTACACAATAGATGAAATCAATAGCCCATCCTTAACCGTTAAAATTACAGGTCACCAATGATACTGAAGCTATGAATACACCAACCACAAGGATCTGAATTTTGACTATATATATAATTAAATTAAAATTGGGCAAGTGATTGTTAATTGATTCATCTAAGGGTCTTACTTACAAAGATTATTTCATATTTATACCATACTAATTCTCTATTATAAAAACTATTTTAGAGCTGGGCTCGGTGGCTCAGCCTGTAATCCCATGCCTTTGGGAGGCTGAGGTGAGTGGATTGCCTGAGACCGGGGGTTCGAGACCCGCCTGGGCAGCGAGACCTCATCTCTACAATAAATCAGAAATCAGCCGGGCATGGTAGCGGCTGTAATTCCGGCTACTCGGAAGGCTAAGACGGAAGGATCGCCGGAGCCCAGCAGGCGAGGCTGCGGTGGCCGGGAGCAGCCACTGCACTCCAGTTTGGGTGACAGAGTGAGACTCCAACTTTAAAAAAAAAACTATTTTATAAATATATGGCTTTATACATTTTTACTATTTCTTGTAACTAAAGATGATTTGAGATGGTCCTTTCAGTAATTAAAATTTCTGTAATTTCCAAGTTACACATGACAGAAAAAGCCATGAATTTGAAAGGGAAGCATTACTGCACTGTACCATGTGGTCATTTTAAGAGTTCTTCCTTTGAATTTTTTCCATTAGTGGCAGAGATTAAAGAAAATATTGATGATATCTTATTGTGCTCTCTCTCTTCATTTCCAAATCAAATCCTATACATAAGAAAAGTTTGCCTGGAAATATTTTTAATCACTATTTTAAAAGAATATATTGAGCCTCCTAGGTCCATCAGTTTTCAATTAAAGCAAATTTCTCATTTGTTTTCATTCTCTTTCAGTCTTTTTCTTTTAAGATTAGCTGCCGACATTTTTCCTGACAATGAATTTATCTGCCTTTTACTATGCTGCTCGAGTAACTAAGCTCAGAAGAAGGCAAATTCTAACCAATTTTTCTTGTAACCCTAAACCGCCTTATACCTCTTCCCAACAACATTATCTGTGACTGCGAAGTTATAAGCTTATCTGAATACCTAATCAAAGTGCAAAAGTGCTCAGTAAATAGAAAAAATTTTAGATTATGTCTACTTTTATTCCCTTTTTTTGCCCTTTAAAAATTTAAGTATCAAAAATTTAAAAAGATAAAAAAAGACACTACATAACGATAAAAGGTTAAATCCATCAACAAGAAATATCCATCCTAAACATATATGCACATAACACAGGAACATCAGCATTTATAAAGCAACAACTAAGTAAACTAAAAAAAGATATTGACTCTAACACTATTATAGCAGGGGACTTGAATACCCCACTAACAGCCCTAAATAGATCAACGAGGCAAAAAATTAACAAGGAGATACAGATCCTAAACTTAACACTTAAACAAATGAACTTAATAGATACCTACAGATTATTTCACCCAACATCACAGAATATACATTCCACTCATCACCACATGGAACATATTCCAAAATCGATCACATTCTTGGCCAAAAATCAAGTGTAAACAAATTCCATAAGGTTGAAATATTGCCATGCACATTCCACCACAGTGGAATAAAAATAAATATTAACACCAACAAAATTTCCCCAAAGCCCACAAAGACATGGACACTAAACAGCATGATGCTAAACAACTACTGGGTCAACGTAGAAATCAAAGCAGAAATTAAAAGATTTATGGAAACAAATGAAAAGGAAGAAACATCTTACCAAAACCTCTGGATTGCCATGAAAGCAGTACTAGGAATTTATATCTCTACGAGCACACATCAAGAAAATGGAAAAGTCACAAGTTGAGAGCCTAATAAATCACCTAAGAGAGCTGGAAAGAGAGGACCACCAAAACCCCAACTTTAGCAGAAGAATCCAAATCACCAAAATAGGAGCCCAAATAAGGGACATAGAAGACAAAAATACCATAGAAAACATCAACAAAACAAAAGCTGGTTTTTTGAAAGAATTGACAAGATTGATGGACCCTTAGCCAGAATGACCAAGAAAAGGCCCAAATAAACATAATCAGAAATACAAAAGATCAAATCACAACTGATCCTGAAGAAATACAAAAGATTATCAGAGATTACCATGTACACCTATGTGGAAACAAACTTGATAACTTAAATGGAATGGAGGACATTCTGACATCACACAATCTCCCCAAGTTGAAACTAGAAAACATTGAGACACTAAGTAGACCAATAACAACCCAAGATATTGGCACTGTCATATGAAAACTACCTGCAAAAAAAAGTCCTGGACCGGATGGCTTTCCAGCAGAATTTTACAAAACGTACAAGGAGAAGCTGTTACCAGTCCTACTGAAACTATTCCAGGTAATTGAGAAAGATGGACTTTTCCCCAAGTCATTTTATGAAGCTAACATCACACTGATATCCAAACTGGGTAAAGATCCAACAATAAAAAAAAAACTGCAGGACAATATCCCTTATGAACATAGATGCAAAAATCCTCAACAAGATTCTAGCAAATCAGATCCAAAAACACATCTCAAAAATCATCCACCATGACCAAGTAGGTTTCATCCCCAGGATGCAGGACTGGTTCAACATTTGCAAGACCATTAATGTAATTAAATACATCAACAGATACAAAAACAAATCCGGCACACGCTTCCTTCAAAATACTAAGTGCCATCTACGATAAACCCATAACTAACATATTGCTAAGTGGACAGAAACTGGATGAAGACAAGTCTACCCACTCTTACCACTCTTGCTCAGCATTGTGTTGGAAGTCCTAGCTTGGGTAATTACACAAGGAAATCAGGGGTATCCAAATAGGAAAAGAGGAAGTCAAGTTATCCCTCTTTGCTGATGATATGATCCTATATCTTGAAAATCCAAGAGAATCTGTCAAACATCTGCTTGCACGGATAAAAGAGTTTGGCAAAGACTCAGGGTACAAAATAAATGTGCAAATGACAGTTGCATTCCTATACACCAACAAGCAGGCTGAGACCCAAATAAAAAGCATAATCCCATTCACAATAGCCACACACACAATGAAATACCTTGGCATCTTCCTAACCAGAGAAGTGAAAGTCCTTTACAATGAGAACTACAAAACACTGCTCAAAGAAATACAAGAAGACACAAACAAATCGAAAAATATTCCATGCTCATGGATAGAAAGAATCAACATTGTAAAAATGCTCATCCTACCTTAGACAATCTACAGATTCAATGCAATATCCATTAAATAACCAATATCATTGTTCTTAGACCTAAGAATGACAATACAGAAATTCATATGGAAGCATAAATGACCACAAATAGCCAAAACAACCCTTAGCAAAAGAAACAAAGCAGGAGTTATCATACTTCCAGACTTCAAACTTTACCATAAGGCTACAGTAATCAAAACAGCCTGGTATTGGTACAAGAGGCATATAGATCAATGGAGCAGGATAAAGATGCCAGAAGTAAAGTCTCAATTTCTCAACCACTCATCTTTGACAAAGCCTCCAACAACAACCACTGGGGAGAGGAGAAATTATTCCGCTGGAAAAACTGGCTGATCACATGCAGAAGATTGAAATAGGACACCTATCTACCACCATACACAAAAATCAACTCTAAATGGATCAAAGACCTAAACGTCAAACCTCAAACAATAAGAATCCTAGAAAACGCAGGAGACATCCTTATGGCAATTGGAACTGGCAACCACTTTCTGATCAGAACCCTAAGTTCCCATACTATAAGAAATAAAATGGGCAAGTAGTACCTCATCAAACTGATGAGCTTCTGCAAAGCAAAAGAAATCATCAAGAAAGCAGGGAGACAGCCCACAGAATGGGAAAAAATATTTGCCAAATGTATATCTGACAAAGGCCTAACATCTAGGATCTTCAAGGAACTCAAACGTGCTGAAAAGAAAAAAGCGAACAGTCCCATTAAAAAGTGGGTAAAAGACATGAATGGGCACTTCTCAAAAGAAGATATACAGGTAGCCAGCAGACACATGAAAAAGTGCTCAGCCTCACTCATCATCAGAGACATGCAAATCAAAACCACACTGAGATCCTACCTAAACCCATGAAGAATGGCATCATTAATAAAACAAACAACAACAGGTGCTGATGAAGAGGCGGAGAAAAAGGAACGCTTCTGCACTGCTGGTGGAAATGCAAACTAGTGCAACCTCTTTGGAAGACAGTGTGGCAATTTCTGAAAGAACTAGAAATTGACCTTCCATATGACCCAGCAATTCCCCTAGTGGGGATATACTCGGAGGAACTCTAATCATTCTACAAAAAAGGTATCTGCACATGTATGTTTGTGGCAGTTCTATTCACGATAGCAAAAACATGGAACCAACCATGCTGCCCATCGAAGCTGGACTGGGTAAAAAATGTGGTATATATACATAATGGAATATTATGCAGCCATAAAGAAGGGCAAACATATGGACTTCGCAGCAACTTGGATGGATTTGGAGTCTATCATACTCAGTGATCTATCACAGATATAAAGAACAGAGTACCATATGTTCGCTCTCATCAGTGACCTTGAATAATTATCAAAACACTATAAGAAAGGGATTGGCAGTAGTGGGAAACTGCCAAGGGAGGGGGGTGGGATTGGCAGTTGAGGGAAAATGCTAGGGGAAGGAGGGGCACGCCTCATCAACAAGAGTGTCTGCATGATCACCGTTTGTAGTTTGCATACCTAATCCTGAATTGTACCCCACATTTTTTAAAAAATTAAACGCAATATTGCATTAAAATGCCACTGTGAATTTTTTTTAAAGAAAAAAAATTTAAGTATTAGAATTGAAATGATGTAATGCTCTAATCAGTTCATTTTTTGTTTGTTTGTTTTTGTTTTTGTTTTGTTTTGTTTTTTTGAGTTGGAGTCTCACTCTGTCGCCCAGACTGGAGTGCAGCGGCCACTCCCGGCCACCGCAGCCTTGACCCGCTGGGCCCCAGTGATACTTCCGCCTCAGCCTTCCCAGTAGCTGGAATTACAGGCATGTGCTACCACACCCGGCTGATTTTTTGATTTATTGTAGAGATGAGGTCTCGCCAAGTTGCCCTGATGGGGCTCGAACCCCCAGGCTCAGGCAATCCACTCACCTCAGCCTCTCAAAGGTGCGGGATTACAGACTGAGCCACCGAGCCTGGCTGGTTGTTTTGTTTTGGTTTTTTTTTGACTCTTACTCCAGCGGTAAGTACCTTGTACTTTGAAAAAGTCTTAGATAGTTGACATCATCCAAAAAGTTTGGTTGGTTTTTTTAGGGTCACTCTACATGTGAGATGGTCTGACTGAGACACACAGAATGGTTCCGGTGGAAATAAAAAGTGATGAAGGGAGCTGTTTGAGACGTGGTGAGTGATTTAAACACTTAAAACATGAAACTTCATCATTATTGTTGTCACCAGCATGACATTCTGGACTCGAAGCAGCTGTAGTTTCACATCTTAGGTATTTTTCTACAACCAGACGTAAGTGCCTATTGTATTCTACATGTTGACTGAGTTGCATATGCAAATGTAAGTATAAATATGATCTTCTCAGATGTTTACAAGAGACCGTGCCTAAGCCCAGTTTGTCTTAATTTTTATTTATCCATATGCATCATGACCCGGATTGTTTTGAGCTGAGTACTTGCTAATTAGCATTCTCATGCATGGCATAGTTAAAGTTAGACAGAAAGAGAGAAGCAGAAATATAGTTCTATCAGCCATGGCGACCAGTTAAAAGCCTGTTGTTACTTTCATATCACACCAGGGAGCCAAACTTCAAACTGTATTGTCCAGGCATGAAAAGGAAGATCATTAGGTTCTAAAGCACCAACTTCTTTTTAAAAGCAGATTCCGATTTTAGCTCAGCGCAATAAGAAAGATCTTGTAGGCCTGAGTCTTATTATCTCCCTGTGCACTCCCAGTTATCACTGTGATATATGACAAGCTTGTTAATTTTGAAAAATCTGCAGAGTCCTAAGAAAGGGCACAGGGACGGTAGATACTGGGTCATGTGAACTTTACTAAGTAACCCTGAAAAATTCTGAGGATATTAAGCAAGCAAAGTTTCCAGGGACTCAAAACCTCTTTCATTAAAAATATAAAAAGCAAAACCTACACTGATCGGCATCAGGAAATTGCCCTGTGGGATTGTCAAAATAGAGAAATACCTGAGCTAACCAATCTATAATATTTTGAACTGTCTCACTCATGTTTTCCTCTCATTAGTTAACCTCACACGTCTATACCTGACTGACGGCTTCAGAATTCTCCCCCCCCCAAAAAAGCAGAGCATTTATTGGCACACAGTGCTGTTGGTGACAGTAGCTTGAATACGTTAAATGCAACTGGCCAACTCACATTGACTCAACTAGGGGTCCTGTCCTCCATCCATGTGAGTTTAGAAAAAAGAGAACAATTGACCTATATTGTGGTCCAAGGTGGCAATGGTCTTCATCACTGATTCCCGGCAAAAATTAGTGAAAGTCCATTTTTTACATTTTTTAAAAGTTCAACAGTTTTTACAAGGGACAAATAGTTTTTGGTTACATGGTTACATTGTATCCTCATGAAGAAGTCTGTGCTGTAATGTACTCACCACTGCCACTTGTACACATTGTACCCGATAGGTGATTTTTTGTCTGTCTCCTTCCTGTTCCCCCTCCCCCTTCTGAGTCTCCAATGTCCATTTTACCATTCTTTATGCCGTTGAGGATCCTTAGCTTGCTACTACTTGTGGATGAGAGCATGAGATGGTTGACTTTCTGTTCCTGAGTCAATTCACTTAGGATTATGTTCTCCAATTCCATCCAAGTTGCTGCAAAAGACCTTATTTTATTCTTTTGACAGATGAATAGCATTCCATCGTGTAGATATATGTTGGGAGCCGGCCACGGAGGTCTGCTAGATCCTAGGAATCTGGCGGGCTGTAGACCCCAGGCCGCTAGGAAGACCTGGGAGTTACCACCTCATTCCCTCCCACCTTACTTGGCACTAACGTCAATGAGAACCTTTGTGTTGGCTGAGCACATATACCATACGGCTTGAGGCCTGCACAGTTAACTTCAGAATGTCATTGTTCCTCCTTTTTTCCCACCTTGTGGTTTGGCATTTTCAATTTATGACCTTTTCGACCCACGTTGTGATTCAACTTTGAAGCGCATCAAAGAGCTGTTTACTGGGTCACAAGTTTTCAAATGAATTAAGGATTTTTAGAAAGATAATTTAGTTATAAGTTTACAGAAAAGTAAGTTTTAGTATATTACATAGTTTTGTGATAGGTTTAGCTATTAAGAATGAGTTAGGAAATATTAGTAAATATTAGAATGATAAAAGTATTTCAGGAAATATAGAATTTAATGAAGGGTTTTAATTTTAGTAGAGTGATTGCAGTAATGGGAAAAGTTATTTTAAAATATAGGATTTCAGAATATGCTTAGGGAAGTTTATTTTAGATATAGGATATTTAGAAGAAAAGTATTTTTAAAGTTTTAAGAAAAGTTTTAGTTTTAGGCTTTGGGTTTTTAGAAACAGCAAGGAAGGTTTTGGATTCCCGGAATAAGAAGCCCTTCGTGCTGTAAGGAATGTACTGACATCGCTTCAGGGGGATTACCTGTTAGACTCTGCCCTGTGTTGGACTTTGTACACAAGTTGCTTAAAGCTTTGCAGCCCCAAACTAGGAATTGATTTAAAATAGAGTTGTTTATATGAAGCATTAGTTGGTTTGGATTATAAAGGTTAACATGCGTTAAGTTAGTTAGGATTTGTAATTTGTATTAGCTTAGTTATAGGTTTTGTTTGTATTTGGATTTTTAGTATTATGTTTTAAAGTTAATGTTATATTATAAGTTTCAGGTGTGGGTGTGGGTTATTGATTACTGGAATGTTGTTTAAGGATAATTGTAATCAGCTATACAATCAGCTAGAACACAAAAAACTGCTTTCGAGGAGCATTAACCAAGCATGAGGAACAGAAAAAAGAATTTCGGGTCTATTCTTCCTCATGCTTGGGAAAGCATTTGGTGGACGTAGCAGACGCCCCCACAAACCTGACATTGTCCACGTGAAATGCACCTGATGTTGTTCACATGAAGCACATGTGAATTTGGGGGATAAAAACCTCTAATTGAGTCCCAATAAATGACATCTGCTCAAATCCAAACAGTTGTTCAAGTCTCCCTCTCTCTCCTAGCGCCTACGCCGTCTCCACCTTTGGAAACCCCTGGACCCTGTGGAGCTGGACTCCTGCAGATATACAACATTTTCATTATTCACTGATCAATTGATGGACATTTAGGTTGATCCCACTCTTTGCAACTGTGAATTGTGCTGCAATGAGCATGTGAGTGCAGGTGTCTTTTTTTTATAATGACCTCTGATCCTTTGAGTAGATACCTAGTAGTGGGATTGCTTGATCAAATAGTAGTTCTACTTTTAGTTCTTTGAGAAAGCTCCATACCAATTTCCATAGAGATTGTACTAATATACACTCCACCAACAGTGTATAAGCATTCCGTTTTTACCACATCCATGGCAGGATTCATTGTGGTTTGTTTTTGGTTTTTTTTTTTTAATAATGGCCATTCTAACTGGTGGTTATAATTCTAACTGGTGGTTATAATGTGTTTATAATTTACATTTCCCTGATGATTAATAATGCTGAGAATCTTTTCATATGTTTGTTGGCCACTAGTTTATCTTCTGAGAGATGTATGTTCATGTCATTTGCCCACTTTTTAATGGGGCCATTTGCTTTTTCTTGCTAATCTGTTTGAGTTCTTTGTAGATTCTGGATATTAGTCATTTGTCAGATGCATAGTTTATGAAGATCTTCTCCCATTCTGCATGTTTCTCTTTGTTCTGGTGATTATTTATTTTGCTGTGCAGAAGCTTTTTAGTTTAAGTTATACTTATTTCTATTGCATTTGCTTTGGGGGTTTTAGCCATAAATTCTCTGCATAAACCAATGTCCTGAAAAGTTTTCTTCTAGATTTTCTTCTAGGATTTTTCTGGTGTCAGATCTGACAGTTAATAATTTAATCAATCTTGAGTTTCTTTAATATGGTGCAAAATAGGAATCAAATATTATTTCTCTGCTTATAACTATCCAATTTTTCCAGCATCTTTTGCTGAATAGGGTGTATTTTTCCCAGTGTATTTTTTTTCTGCTTGTCAAAGATCAGTTGGTTGTAGGTATTTGAATTTATTTCTGGATTCTATATTCTGTTCATTGGCCCATATGTCTGCTCTTATACCGGTACCACCCTGTCCTGATTACTATAGCCTTGTAGTGTAATTAGAAATCAAGTAATGTGGTGCCTTTAGCTTTGATCTTTTGGCTTAGGATTGTGTTAGCCATCCTTGCTCTTTTTGGGTTCCATATGAATTTTAGAAAATTTTTCTCATTCTGTGAAAAATGATGCTGGTAGTTTGATAGGGATTATATTGAATTTGTACATTACTTTGCCTACTACAGTCAGTTTAACAATGCTGATTCTTCCAATCCATAATCATGGGAGATGTCTCCATTTGTGGCGAAATCAGACCACCAGAGTTTTACAGTTCTCCTTGTGGAGATCTTTCGCCTCCTTGATTAAATATAGTCCTAGGTATTTTAGTTTTTTGCATGCTATTGTAGGTGGAATTGAGTATTTGATTTCATTCACAGCTCAGTCATTATTGGTGTATAACAGAGCTACTGATTTGTGTGTTGATTTTGCATCCTGAAACTTTATTAAATTCATTGATCAAGTCCAGAAGTCTTTTAGGGGAGTCTTTAGAATTCTCTACACATAAGATCATATCATCAGCATACAGGAGTAGTTTGATTTCTTCTTTCCCAATTTGGATACTTTTATTTTTTGCCTTGCATGATTACTTTGGCTAGGACTTCCAGTACTATGCTGAATAGGAGTGGTGAAAGTGAGCATCCTTGCCTGGTTCCAGTTCTAAGAAGGGATGTATTCAACTTTTCTCCATTCAGAATGACTTTGGTGGTAGATGTATCATATATGGCTTTTACTATATTGAGGAATGTTCCCTCTGTAA